CGTTAAGCATAATGAAATAATGTGGAAATGTGTTTTAAAGCTGACGGTGACTGATGTATTGGTAGTAACGTCCGCCGTGCTAGCGTTACGAGCTAAGTCGCGCTAGCAACCGCGCGCTGACTACATGGTGTTGGCTGTGTTGTGTTAGCCGCGCCGTGTTAGCTGCATTTGCCCTCTTTAATTGTTAATGGTGGTTCTGTCACTCATCAGTGTTAGGCTGCTAACAGCTATAATTGAGTTTAAAAGGTGCGTTTATGAAGTTGGTGTGTGAGCTAATGTTAATGTTGAGATGAACTGATGTTTTGCTGAGTTGTAGAGTTAAACATCATTTGTTAGCCGTTCTGTGACCAAAAGGGTCCATTATTAGCTCAAGCTTAAGTGAATTGAAGCAGGACTATATACTATGTGTGGATAATTGTCATAACAAAATTGCATCTAAATGAAATATGACATTACAAACTGTTGAGGTGGGAATTACAATGATTTATTTTGTTGAAGTAACAGGATACAGTGAGCGTTGCATGTGTGTGTGTGTGTGTGTGTGTGTATATATATATATATATAAACACAATTGAGCTGTGCAGTGACAGTTCTCCTGGTTTTGTGGGTCAAGGCCAGGTCTCTCTTCTCTCCTCTTCTCTTCTTCCTCGCGTTGACCTTCATCGTTCGGCGAGAGTGTGATCCGACAGAAGATTCGAATCTTCAGCCTCGCTGGCTTCTGATGGACAGAGGTGCAGTTGGTCCTGGAGTGGCGAGCCAATCCATGAGATGAATCGGGAGAGAGATGCTTGATTCTTGAAGTTTGATAAGGAGCGGTAGGAGAATTGCATTTAATGCCCCACGTTGGATCAACAATCAACAAGAGTGGTAGGACAATAGAGTTCAATTGCTCCACACAGTAGACTGCAAGGAAATTCATGGAATGAGAAGACATTAAAGCATTACAAAAGGATCAAAGGATATCAAAATCTGAGTTGAACTGATGAATAGACTTGTTAACTCATTGAACTGAATGTCGGATTCACTGATTTGTTGACATTACTGTGTGTGGTGAGCTTGTTTTGAATTGTTTTGTTTGAAATGTGCATTGTTTTATTTTATTTGACTTACCTGTTTTTGGGTTGCTGAGTCTCACTAAAGGAACTAGTTGGTGTTTCAAGTTCTGAAAGAAAAAAAATGATTAAAGGAATCACCTGTTAAAATAGAGGCACCCTAAATAAGGTTCATAAAATTAGAAATAACCACTAAATATGACAAACTTTACAAGTGCCTGACCATCAATAGTGAACTAGAATACTATTTCAACCAAATAGAAAACCTAAAATTAATAAAATGCAAATAGTTACACTTACCTGATGGCTGTATTCCTGGTTCAATATCTAAAAAAAATAAAAAAGAGAGAGAGAGAGCGAGAGAGTAAAGACAAGTGTTAAAGTGGAAAGAAGTTCATTTTTTTCTTGATGTGGAGTTGAGTGCATCATCATTGGAGTTTGTTACACCTTGAATGTTGTTTTAAAGAGTATACAGTTGAGAAAAAAAGGGGGCTACTTGAAAGATGAGAAAATAAATATTTAATTTTACCTTTCAAACGCAACTCCTGAGTCCGTGTCTTTTGTCACCTTTGCTGTCCGGTACCCATTTCTCCTGAGCGACCTAGAACTTCTGATCAGCTGGTCCATATTGAATGGTTATTACACCTTATTTATGGTGTTGAGAGGCTACATAAAGAGAAATCACTTCTGGCTGTTACATGCTGGTCCAGGTGTAGGTCCTGGGCAGCTCCTCAGAATGTTATGACTTCTTGTTCTGCCCTGAGTGAGCGCATTCTCATTCCACTAAGACCTATTTTTACTCAAATCTGTTTGACTGGGTCTGAGTTTCCTCTTCAGAGGACTCATCAGATGAGCCTTCTGTCATCAGAGAAGTCTTCTTCATTCAGGAGAGCTGGATTCCAAGACACACCCACAACTCTAGCTTGACCCTGAGGCACAGACTGGGTCACCATCATCACCAGAGAGTTCAGACTCAGAATCAGAACATCTTCACCATCTGGTCCCTCATGCAGCATCTCTACAACCATTTAAGCAGTAAACTGCAAAATCTCTGAATACAGAAAATCAAAAGCACAAAATGTTTCAAAGGCACATCAATATACATTTCTGGTGTGGCAGCCCTCGGCAGGTTTCAAACCCCAGCCTCCCAGGTATGACTCATTTGTGCTAACCACGATGACTTGTTGTAAATATGCGCTATACAAATAAAATTGAATTGAAAATTGAATATCTTATCTTATCTATGGACATTTTAGAATCACCAATTAACCTCAGCATGTCTATGGACCGTGGGAGGAACCTGGAGCACCCGGTGAGAACCCACGCAGGCACAACGAGAACATGCAAACTCCTCACAGAAAGACTCCAGGCCGAGATTTAAATCCAAGACATTCTAGCTATGAGGCGGCAGTGCTAACCACCAGCGTCACCAGCGTGCCACCCTCTTTTAAAACGTTCCCTTCCTAATCATCTATTTTGCTCTAAATGAGACAATAATTTACTAAACAACACCATGCTGTATTAAAGAAAAATCCCTTAACTCAAAACTGAGATCATAAACTCATTAGGTAAAGGTTAAGTGAGGTAACAGATCAAGGGAGAAGTAGGACTGCTTTCATATTTCTATACAATTAGACTTATTTTTGTAGGCAGAGGAGTCCTGCTGGCTACTCAAAATAATGAATGTTTAAGGTACTTAAATGTTGGCTTCACTTTTCAGACCTGGAGGCTATGTTCATCTTTTATAGACAGTCTAGGTGCACAACATGATGATGAGGTTCTTTTCTAGGGGGAACTGTGGTCGACGAATGGCTGTCTTTGTGAGATGGATTTCGCAGTCTAAAAACACCCAAAGCCCAGTGTCCCTCACCACCTCCATCTAAGTGATACAGACAGTCTGTTCCGATGGCTGACAGACTTAACATCAGGATGCATGGGGAGGCTGGTGCAGTACATGGTCCTGGCCAGTCACTAGGAACCTTATCCTCGGATCAATGCACTAGCTTCACTCTGGTTGCCCACCATACTCCTCCAGGTTTTACTCTTTCTTTATCCTTTTTTTCTATTTCTGTGATTTCATTTGTGTGTTTTTCATTGTTGTGTTAACATAACTGCATACCTTTTTAAATATGCTAAAGTGGTTACTTTCAAAGTAAGATGGTTAAATTAAAATGAAACATTTTTAGTTATTTATTAAAAACGGGTAATTAAAAGTCATCAACACAATGATATCAACTGAAGTTAAACATGTTATCACTGTCAATGTTTCATCTATATCTCTCATCCCCATTGTAGCCTAAGTGCAGACCATTTACTATTGATCTGTTTGCTTGTGCTCATTTTCACACAGAGGTAAGGTATATCACACAGCTTCTGGTCTGTAATTTTATATATAAAATTGTCTTACTGCACATCAGCGTCATGAATTTTTAAACTGACTTTTATTGAAGGCTGTATTCCCCAAACGGAAGTTTTACGAGATGCTTTGACTAAACCAGAGCCCCTGAAAGAGATCTTCACTTCAAGGACTATCAGTATTTCAGAATAAAAGCCACAGCATAGACTGTAGCTTGACACTGTCAGTTTTGTCAGTTAGATCACTACTATTATGTCAATAAATTCTACAGCACTACAACCACGCTCCAGAAGTCAGCCAGAAGAAGTCGCGGATTCAATTTTGAACAGCTCAATTCGATTCGATTCGATTCAATTTGATTTATATAGCGCCGATTCACAACTTGTGTCATCTCATGGTAACGTAAGATCCTAAGAATTATAACCAGAACAGACAGCCCAACGTTTCAAAGTTACATCAAAATACTGGGTTTACAACCAGCTGACTCTATTATCTACGCAATCTACACAGACATGGCAACCTCAGGGATACTCACGAATTGGCTTTGTTGGAGCCATAGACCCATTTTTTAGCCAATCAAAACCGTACCCAAGACTATAAAATTTCTTTTTAACTTGATCAACCTTCTTTAAGCAGATTTCAAGCTTTCAAGATAAGACATAGCAGACAAAAGAAGAAAATAATACCCTAACATATAACTAGAAGTAGTGAAGCAGTGAGGTGTGACCTGTGGATTCTCTATCATGTTGTGAATATCAGCCGAAGCATAGATCTTTTTGGAGGCGACCTTATTTCAACTTGACATGCGACAAAAAAATATACAAAATCAGTTGCAAAGACTTGTACCCCTACAGAAATAAATGATACAACAACATGTTGGAACCGGGAAAGTAAAATTATTAGTGAAATTACGTACATTAGAACACACAGATTACAGCGGCTCAGTCTCGCTTACCTCTCCTACAGAATAATGAATAAAAGGGGAGAGCTAAGATGGGAAATACACATTTATAGGACCTACATAGGGTACTGGGACACCCAAGTGAAGGTTCCACAGAATAGCTGAAGGGTAGACCAGATTTTGTGTAATTCTAACAATTAAAATTATAACAATAAAATAACAATAAAATGGTACATCATGTATCAGCAATATAACTATATAACGATATATGCTTAAAATGACAATCATTTTTTATAGAACCTTTTAATGGCCTGCTTGTGTGTTAGATATTTAAATGTTTATTTGTTCAGCTTTGTTGTTCCTGTTTCAATCAGCCGTCTGTCTGTTATAGTGAACTTCAAAGTCGCATTCCTTGCTTGTGAACACAAACGCAGCCATAAAGATGATTCATGGAGCATTACTGCCATCTTCTGGATCTCAAGCCAGCATCGTTTTTCTGTTTATTTATCATTTTATTTTTCCAAATGATTGACTGAAAATTAGTGGCGATCATAGATGTGGAAGCCAAATAAAACGTATTTGTTTCAGTTCATAAGAGAAGAAATGTTATGAGCAGGTCAGCTTTGTTCGGGTTTTTATTGTGAAGCGCCTCCAGAGGAACTGTGTTGTGTGTGTTTTGTCGTGCGTGCAGGGAACTTGACAGAAGTGCTGCTGGAAGCTGTCAGGCTCCATTCTGTTTCACAGCCTCACTTACCAGCGTCTTTCTCTCAGCATGGCATCTGAAGAACTGGCGAGGAAGCTGCAGTCGCGACTGGCCGCTACGCAGGAAACTGAGCCGAGGCCGGAGCCCGAACAAAGCCCGGTCCGGCCCAAACCGCAGGAATCCGAGGCAGCCTGCGGCGATTCGTCTTCCGAGCTGTCCGCCAAACTGACCCGCAGACTGGACATCAATGAAGGAAATGCTGCTCCTCGAGCGACCCGCGTCTTTAACCCCTACACGGAGTTCAAAGAGTTCTCTCGCAAGCAGATTAAGGACATGGAGGCGATGTTCAAACGGTGAGGCCAAGGCTACTGCTTATTGTGTCTGTCTGTTTACGCATGTAGCAGCGGCCCGACATGTTTACTTGCAGTTGTGGGGATTGGGGCTGAATGGGCACGCAGGCTGAAGCTCGTGATGAGATTAGGTGCTGCTGCTGACGTAAAGCCTGCAGGTGAAGGGATGCTGTGAGCCCGTTCACTGATTCACAGTGACGCTGACTGCAGGCCCTCTGCACTATGAGCAGCTGCAGCCCGTGTTGTGTCGTGATGAGAGATCTCTGGGCGGCTCTCTTAACCTCGGATGACTCATTCGCTAAGCATAACCAAAAAACAAGCAAACAAATAAATAAATCGTAAAATATGACGAACGAGGGCTGTTTGCTGTTTGACAGCCAAGACTGACCAAACTGATCAGTTACATTTAAAATTTAGGAAACTGATGAAGCGAACACCAAGTGTTCCAAGCTATGCACCAAATAGCCTTTAATAATTACTTAAACCAAACAGTTATGCCATTATTTATATAACAACTAGTCTGACACAGTTTCTTTATTCAGCATTTCTCATGCACAGTGTGCTGCACAGCTGTAAGTGTGCTGACCAGGTCAAGTTGAATTTGTTTGCGGATTATTGGTGCTGGAATCAAGCCAGTAGCCGCCACACCACTTATTGTCATGATGGCCAATTGCTAGTTTAACCCCATAACGCTCTCTACTTGCCCAAAGGTAGCTGCTCCTGATCCAAGCAACCAATGGCCTATAAGAGATGGAATATTGGATTTAGATTTAAGGTGGCAAGAAGCTGAACGTAGTTTAAATGTTTAGTAGGAAAACATCACTCTAGGTATGGTTCTAAAAGGACACTGCATAGCAACATAAAAACATTCTTTCCAAGATGAAGTATGGCAGAGGCAGCATTATCATTTTGAAAGCTCACCATCATTAAGGGAAAGATGAATTCACAAGTATATCAATGTATCATTCAGGATATATCTATATGCTATAATGATGTGTCTGTAAGTTAGAGCAGAGTGTTTTTGGGATTTTAGAAAGATGTAATGGTGCTCCAGCTCGCTTAATTTTCAAAACTAATAAATTAAAGTAACTTTCATAAACACTTTTTGTGTTGCAGTGCATCACTCAGCTTCCATTAAGCATATTAATATAAATTATTGCTTGTAATTTTAATATTTTCAACAATTGTAACTTTACATTTGGACAGCACCATAAAATGGTCAACACACTCCATCGTGTGTTGTGACTGATTTCGGACACAGCCTGGATTGGCGTTTCAGAGTGTACAAGGTCAGGTGACCTTTCCCAGTATGATGAAATAAATGAAGCCAATGAGGGTCAGGCTCTGTGTAGCAGAATAATGACAAACTCAGTTGCCAATTACTTTTTCTGTGCTAATTTTAAAGACAAATACAGCTGAACATACAGTAGAACTGGATTTATGCGGACTTTGTCAGATGACTGCTTGATCAAATAGAAATAGTCGTATCAGCAATACAGCAGCTTCAGACGACTGGGTACCCTGTTGTGTTTGTGTGCCCAGATCAAATGATTCGTTATGTGACAACGCAACAGAAAAATATGTTAATATCAATAACTATACTGCGAATTTGGGCTGCATTGCAACACAATATGTGACCAGAACATGCAGGGGGGATACAGAACATACTATGTATTGCCAAGGCAGCATAGCTAAGAAGACAATTTTGTCATCTGTAACTCTTAAATTACAATTTCTTTTAAAATGGCAATAAAGCAATGAGAAGAACAGAACAGCTCTTATCATGATTTTCTATTTATACTGATTTTGTCCAGTATTATCCTTACCGTGAAATGATGATTTTGTCAGTCTATCAGTCTCTTTCCTTATGAGGTGTTTTCTGCGATACTGCCTCATTCCCTGTCAACTCGAAAGAGAAAGATGAACAGGTTCAGCTGTAGACAGAGGGCTTTCCAGAAACAACCTGGACACACAACTGTGGATTGCTTTCACACAAAAATACTGTTTTAAAATGTAAACGGCTTGATGCAGACATCGACATAGCACAGCCTCACAAAGGTGCTGTAGATTCTTTGGCGAATACCTTGTTTTAGCTAGAATAATGTGGTATGTAGGGTTTCTGTTAAATGACTGCACACATACACCTTTAACTGAATACACATAGTTGCGTATCAGGAAAAGAAACTATGTGCTTGGCCTATCTGGTAGCTAAACAGACTGTGGCTGTGCTATCTCAGACCCTCATGCTTTTAATAATGTGTCCTTGTACTTAGGTTTGCACTGGTGGTTAGTCAGATGACAATGACTTACTGTTTCTTGAGACTATACTCAATGCTTGGACTTTGCATTTTTCCCCAGAAAAATTCCCAAATTGTTTGCCATGTAGGAGATTCAGTGACCCTTTCTCCAATCTCTTTAGTTCCCTTCCTTTGCTGCACTAATCCCATTCACACATTTGGTCCACATTTGGATGGGACATTCACTGCCTCGTGACCTAGTTTTCCTCTTCAGAGAGCTTTTGGCTTAAATAGAATAGAATAGAAAAGAATAGAATATCCTTTATTACTCCCTCAAGGGGAAATCTGCAATGTCACAGCAGCAAAGTGACAGTAGAAAAACAACAAAAATATAACTATAAATTAAAGAGGCAAGTATACACTATATATACAGTATAAATAAGAAAAACAGAAGAACACAATGATACTAAGAACACAAATTTAAGAATATTTCCATAAATGAATTTCACTTGGGTTTATTGCACAAATGCACTGTATATTTCAGTTTTCTGTAATAGGCACTGTTAGGATTTTATTGCCATGAGTTTAGAATTATTTAGAACAAGTTTTAAGTATTTCCAGATATGCCTGTGTAATTTACCAAATGATAAATGGACTGCACTTATATAGCACTTTTCTACCTTAACAGCACTCAAAGGGCTTCACAATGTTTTCTCATTCACACATTCACACACCAATGGTGACAGAGCTGCTATGCAAGGCGCTAGCCTGCCATTGAGCAACTTCAGGTTCAATGTCTTGCCCAAGGACACTTCGACTGTGGAGGGGGCGGGGATCGAACAGCCAACCTTACGATCAGAGGACAACCGCTCCACCACCTGAGCCACAGCCGCCCAAAGTCAGATTTAGTTTTAGTTAAAGCTATTTTTGGTAGCTTTATATTGATAGTCACTGAAGTATAGGAGCAACTTTTACTATTTTGAAGTTACTATGAGCTACATTAGTACCGTGTATTTTCTGTCCTGCTTCTGGAAGCTCTTTGAGCTGAACAGGTCATCATAGGGGAGCACAGAAAGCATGGTAGCAGAGAAAGTAAGTAAGCCAAAAGCTCAGGCAGCCATAACTAACAGGGAAGCTGCAGAACAATGAGGCTCAGACGAGACTCTTACGAGCAATAGGTGTAATCTCCCTCCTGTTTGGCATACTAAACATTTCTATTGACAAAAGTTGTGGGCTTATGCACCATGCTCCCATCCCATATTATCTCCTATGTTATCATCATTGCCAGTTTAGTTCAGTTCACAGCATATGTCATCTCACAGCACTTTGCATACTAAGGTGAAGATACATTTTTGACAGACTATCCAACAAATGCAAAGTTTCCTTTGACTTCCTTTTGAGCAAGCACTTGGCAGCAGTGGAAAGGAACAAAAAAACCTTCCCTTTATTGGGAAGGACAAAAATAAATGTCCTACAGAACCAGGCTCAGGGAGGGCGGCCATCTGCCTTAACACACACACACACACACACACACACACACCAAGATGTGAATTAATGGCACCTCCCCATCCCCTTTTTTGGTACAGCATGGTATTTATTCACCTTGCATGCTGATGAATAGTTGTTTTAAATTGCATACCAGAGTTTTGCATTGATGTAAAGATTTAACAATAACTTGATGTGTACAAAATGTTTTATTCAGGAAAGATTAGTAATAATTAGAAGTAATGAGGGCACAGAGAAGAATTATATTTCAAAAATCTCTCAAGTGTCTTTTATCCATAGAGCCCAAGATTAATTTTGGCCTTAGAGTACAAGGTTTTTTCAGGTAGAGATTTCAAAAATAGTGTGGGGCTTTATCAACAAAGCATTTATATGAAGTATATTTATATACTTTGAATGGAAAATGTTTAAATAACTTATTGTACAACTGTATGTATTTGTATATGCAGTCAGTCTATTTGTACCCAAGTGGAGCCACGGTGAATCTATAAGTGCTTTGATCATGCGGTGTGTAATCAGGCAGGCAGAGTTTGAACTTTAAAGCATCGCTCTCATTCTCACCAGAGCTATTAATTGGTCAGCTTTGCTGTATTGTTTATTAGATTGTATTTCTTTCTTTCTGGCTCACTTGCTTTTTTTTTCTCTCTATTGCAAGTAGGTGTTTATGCACATGTGATCAGATGTAACATTTTTTTGAGATTTCTGGCACCAAAATCCATGTGTCAAGGTGGAAGAAGTTACAGAACATGGAAACATGGCTTTGTGCCGTGCCATCATTATCCTTGCCCATCTAGACCTGACACTGTGTGCATTTTGTGGTTTGTAGGTATGACACTGGTAAAGACGGGTTCATCGACCTAATGGAGCTAAAGCTGATGATGGAGAAGCTGGGAGCGCCACAAACCCACCTGGGTCTCAAGAATATGATCAAAGAGGTGGACGAAGATTTTGATGGCAAACTGAGCTTTAGAGAGGTGAGAGGATGATCTGTCAAGGTTCCATATTGTGTAATTCAATTCAAATGTATTTTTAGAGCAACAATTCACAACATATCATCTCAAAACACTAAGGTGGTGACCTTACAAATTTTAAACCGAAAACAAAGAACCCAACAATCCAAAGGTTCCTTTGGATTTCCTTTAAGCTGGGAAGTAACCAAAAAATCTCCCCTTTAGCACGGATGAATAAAGCCTTTGACAGAACCAGGCTCAGGGAAGGCAGACATCTGCCTCAATCGGTTCGGGTGAGAGTGGGGATAATGGGGATGGGGAACATGGTTGGGGTGGGGATGGCAGGGTAGCAGATGGAGAACAGACAAACAAATCACATAGAACAATAAACAAGCATTGTCTCTTAGCAATCTTTTTTAGTAATAAAATATGTAATAAGTATCTTATGCTCACAGCTTTTATTCTACACCTTCAGGGTTTTAAAAATACAAAACACAATAAAAGTGCATTTTCTGCATATGAGATCTTTAAATAGCGGGTAAATACTTGTACTAAGATGGTCACTCACATAATATTTCCACATAAGAAACCATCTTAAGCACTGTGAAACTAACAACATCATTTTTAGACTTTTATGTATCAAGTACAGTTTAAATGTTGATGTGTGGATGATGTGATAAATACTGCAAATTGTACAATTCAAAGAGATATGACGTATACACAGAGATATAAAGTATGTGTTAATGAACACAGCAAAAGTCAATTGCAGATGGCAATAATACCTGTTGTACAGTATGTCTTGTATTTGCATACACTACAACTTAAAAAAATAGAACATTTTAAAAAATGTCATATTTTTCAGTTTGTTGATTGGCACCCCTCTCAACAACTGATGAGGAAGTTTGAAGGTTGGAAAGGAAAGGGCTGGGATCCTAATTCGACCAAATGTTTGGCCCAGATTATTTGTGGGGTTTTGCAGATCCAGTTCTAAACCTCCCAAAGTGTTCACAGACTCATCAGGTTGCCTTGGTATTTACAAGTTAAAATGAGGATAGTTATGATTACCACGCTACTGGCAGTGGATGCTATTGCCAAGCACAAATAAACATTTTACCTATTAAGGCTAAAATTAACTACAAGTTTAAAACTGATAGTTAAGATCTTACGTCCATTTCTCTCTGAAAAATAGAGAAACCATATTGACTGCATCTTTTGAAATATTTTCTCCTCCAGACTTGTTTAGCCTTCTTCTTCTGTATTGCACCATTCATTTCCAGTCTTTTAGTGTGTGCCTGTCTGAGATTAGAGACAAGAATATCTCTGAAGTTTTCTTTATGTGAATGATGCACCTTATTTCAAAATCTGTTCGGATTTTAAAATTCCTGTAGTTTGAGCCCAGCCTTAGGTGACTCAGTTTGGAACGCAGTAAGGTCACAAGCTAGTCTCAAGAGATGTCATTTTCTTGACTGAATATATATATTTGAACTAACTTCTCTGCTGCAGTTCCTGCTTATCTTTCGGAGAGCTGCAGCTGGAGAGTTGCAGGAGGAGAGTGGTCTGATGGCTCTGGCCAGACTGTCTGAGATCAATGTCTCCTCTGAGGGAGTGATGGGGGCTAAGGACTTCTTCGAAGCCAAGGTATGATGACAGTTTTTACTGTGTGTTTTCTTATACTTAATCTAGCCTGCTTTCAAGGTAGAAAACACACTCACAGACGTATGTTGACCCAAACATTAACAGTATCTTAAGCGCAGCCCGTTTGACGTTGGAGTATTTTTCCATCGGCACACTTTTCCAGAACTCAATGTTCCCTTCCCTTTAAAGCAGGTTTCAGTTGGTCCTCTTCACAAAGATCAATCATCTGCAACTCAGCCGCAGCCTCATCTGTGACTAGTGGGGCTTTCAAACAGTCGGTCTCCGCATTAAACGGGTCAACGATGAACGTAATCTGTGGCCTTTTCATTTGTAGATCACAGAACCGGTTCGCAAAGCTTTCGTGCAGGTTTTCAACCAGTGTTGCATATCTGGCTGTTTGCTTATTCAGGGCAGTGCTGGTGACTTGCCCGCTGGCTTTTAGCAGAGTGGGAAAATGCGTTAAATCTCCCTTTTGAATATGCGTTTTGAACAGCTTCAGTTTGTTAGCAAACGCAAACACACTGTGCACCAGGTCAGGCAGTATTTTTAACTAACCCTGCAGGGTCAGGTTCAGTCTGTCCAAGAGACACAGCATGTCGACCAAAAAGGCAAGATCCATAATCACAGCATATCCACTTGAGGTCCAAGAGCTCGGAATAGTCCTTCTCCTCCATGAACAGTTTCACGTCATCCAAAAGCTCAAAGAAGCGAGAAAATAGAATTAGAATAGAATAGAATTTGAATAAAACTTTATTAATCCCCTTTCCCCTTTCTTGAATTGCCTGTGGTTAAGCACATGTGTGCGGATGTAGGTGAAAAATTCCATCACAGGCTTCATGACATTGTCTAAATTCAATGATTTAGACACGAGTTGCTCCCTGTGGATGATGCAGTAGAAATTCCCAAACTCGGGAAATGTTTGGTCAGCTTTGCACAGCCCCACAAACTCGTTCACAGATCCGATCATGGCTGACGCTCCATCCGTGGCTATTGCAGTTAGCTCTGGTATGGGCAGATTTGCTTTCACAAATGCAGCCATCATTGTTTCTTTCACATCTGTGCCACGGGTTCTGTCTTTCAATGGCACAATATCAAGTAGTTCTTCTTTGATCACACAATCGTTTGACACAAACCCCACAAATATCACCACCTGAGGCTTGTCTTGTATGTCACAACACTCATCCAATGCGACACTAAAATACTCACGTTTGAAGGTCAGACTGCAGCTATGATTCAATAGCCATGTTAATGTCCGACATTCTGTGTTCAACAGTGTGGCGGGACAGTTGGATGTCTGATACCATTCCTTTTAGTTTGTCGTTTTCAGGAGACAAGATTTTAACGTCACTGAGGCATTTTTTAAGGAACTCTCCTTCATTGTATGACTTTTTAACCTGTACAATGTTCCGAGCCAGTTGATACGGTGCAAGCGTTAAGGTCTCTGAGTGCTTTGTACATTTTTGGAACAACTGTATCTGCTTTTCTGCATGACTTTTCAACGTGACCAACTTGTGCTTGCGAAAATCATTGGAAATTCCTGGTCGATGTTAGCATGGAGTGAGCTGAAGTGCTGCTGAAGATTTGAAGCCTTGAAATGCGCTAATGATCCCTGACATAAAAGGCAGAATGGCTTGTCATTGCGTTCAACAAAAAAAAACAAAATTCTCCCATTCTGTTAAAAACGTCCTGTGTTCATCTTCATATTTTCGTTTTGCTGTGCATTTCTTCCTGCTATTTTGAGAGTGAGCTTGACACAATATTCAACAATAAGGTTTTCCCTCCCAAAGCGTGCAACGACGTGTATTTGCGTGACATGAAATTGAACTCAAGCTAAGCGAATGTGCATACACATACACATTTAAAAAAAAAAAACAGGCAAAGAGCTGCATGCGGCTTGTGAGCCACAGGTTGGCCAGGCCTGCTCTAAAGTAAATGTATTCACAACCGGGGACACAGCTATCTATGCAACATTCACTGGTGAATAAACAAAAGTCAATAAATCTAAGAAAACCATAAGCCTCCAAAACAAATGCGAGAACATAAGTCTAAAAGATAACAGTGTTTTCCTCCAGCATCATGTTTCATTTCGATTATAAGAGCTGTTGTTTGATAAAAGACGTGTTTATATACTGTGTCTACTTAGGACAATTTGTCCAAAGATGCCACATAAAATTAAAGCCAGCTGACAGTAAGGCAGTCATACAGGGCTACTTGAGACTTCAGGATGATGTGTGTTGATGTAAAGAACTATTGTCATTTTGTGTTTACCAGGTGCAGGCTCTGTCTGTGGGCAGTAAGTTTGAAGCTGAGATTCGAGAGGAAAAAGAAGAACGCAAAAGACAGGAAGTGGAAAAAAAGCAGCGGCAAGCTGCCTTCAAGCAGCTGCAGTCCACCTTCTGCTCATGACCCTCTACAGAGAGTACATAACAATCCTGACATGCACAAGTCATCGTTACTAAAATTTTAGAAATAGCTCCACACCTCTTACACTGTGTCATCTCTCAGAATGGGGTACTTTAGAACAAAAATAGACAGATGTATCAAAGTAAAAGCTCACTAAAATACTTTAAAATACCTCATTACACATCACAAGCAAGGTTCATTCATTCCAGTCTTCTGCAGCTGTTCTAGAACAAACTATAAGGCAAAAACATTGCATCAGACCTCTAACAAGATACTTAGTGATCACTCCACATTCATGGAGATCTCATAGTTTTCCTGTACATTTCTGTGGGCTTATTTCTTGTGTCCCTCTGTACATTCCTGATTTTTGATTCCAGTTTGGTCATTTTTGTGTCATATGGTCTTGTATAAGCCTCACGTTCTTAACATTAAGTGAACATCTACTCTACAACTTACAATGTAACAAAAATAAGAAATAGATAATAGCATATATTAGTATTAACATAACAGTGTGGAAACATTTCGTGGTCCTTCTAAACTTTGGCTTTTACTTTGACTTTTGATCCAGCTAATTAGGTTATACTGTTATTGACTGCTAATGAATTTCAACATTTGATATCAATCTCATGTCTGCATTCAGTACAGAGCTGATGTCAGGCCGTGGTTAGCCTAGCCTATGTTTATCCTGCCTCTTAAATCTGAATACAAGCTGAAATTAAAAAAACATAAATGATTTTTGTTTCCGCTCTATGCTGGAACCTTGTTGATGAACACAGTCTTCATACAGGTAGCTCCGCAATTCCTCCTAAAACCCATCCACACAATATAAATAAATGGGATGCACCAGTTAACCAGCGAGCTTTAAAGGTAATTAACTTGGAAGTCTGGCTCTGTCCAAAATCAGAAAATACCACTAACTGTGTTCCTGTCAGCTCAAGTGTTTGTGTTTCCACGTGCTGACTCCAGGTCTGTACTGATTACACAGATTTGTGCTTTATATCCATCTTAGCAGCTGACTAAGAAGAAAAGCAAATAAATATATTTAGCAAAAAAAAATAATTTTAAATGTTTCTATTCTGTGCGTAAGTATGGGCCAACAACAGCAGACTGAATTTCAGCGACATTAATAAAAACACGCTATCAAATGAAAGGATGGAGGACAGCTTACATTTAAGCATGCTCACCTGTAACACCAAGGTTTCTTGACTGATTTTTGATTCTCTTAAGTCTTAAATTGAATTATCTCATGACCCTAGCAATTAGACTGTGTTTGTGAGAATTTGAGTACAGTGTAGTTTTATGTTTTATTTTCGACAGCATGCAGAGCAATTGAATAATATATGCCAGAGATTCTAAAATATCTGAATTCAATTTAGCCTATTTTTTATGTAAAACAGTTGATTATTAAAAGTATCCTGCAGGCCTGTGTGCATAATAGGTGACTGCTGTTGGAAGTTTGAGATGAAAGCACTGATGTTTAACTTCTGACTGTAGACCTGTGGTCTTATGTGAATGTCTGACAGTGGTCCTTCCCCTCATTGAGCTTAAGATGTAACAGTTTTTTTTATGTTTTTTTTTTTTTTGTAAAAGGGTACAATAAGCACCATCAAATTATTGTTTGAATAATTTATTGATAGTTGATGCTTAAGATGTCTGAGAAAATAGCTTATGTGATGAGATGTAAAATCACTTGAGTGCCCGTTTAATGTGACAATTCAGCCATTCATGTGCTTCCTCTATCCACTGCAGTTCAATTTTGCATCTATAGCTTAAAGTGCATGTGAGCAGCATCCCAAATATGTGCAAGTAAGGAAATCACAAGATCTTACCAGGACTGTCCCAATCTTAGATCTCAGAGGCTGTTACCACATACTAACTACTTGTACACACTTTGATTTCAGATGTTCTCCTGAAAAGGGATTCATAGCTGTTGCTATGTGAACACTTAATTACAGCCTGCCACAAACTAAGATATGTAGCAGTTCCCACATGCAGCTGTTGATGTTTCAGGGTGAGAACAAAGGTCTAGTGCTGTGTTCAGAGCAAAGCTGACTGTGTCAGACTTCAGCTTCAGTCAAGCTACCCACCCACCCACTTCAGCTCCATATCATGAACACAAAAGGCTTGCACATTCTTTCATGGTGTGGTCTCAGGAATCTTTACCTACTGTTCTACTGGTGCAGCACTGGAAAAAACACAGGTGAGCAAAAACAACGATGGTGGCTGTTATTGGTAGGTTAGCTGTGCAGTTTTGTGGATACCATTAACACAGGCAGGGGCCCTTGATGCTTGAAGTAATAGCTCAGTATTTTAGGAAATATGATTATTCTTATACTATGAAAGAATGAGGTAAGACTATCAAATGATATATCTCATGTTTGTTGATGAGCAGCAGCTGTGTGCTCACCAACTGTGTAGCAATCTGCACTGAAGTGGGAGATGGTCTTCCCCAAACTGTTGGGGAGATCAGTAAATAGTATAGCACAGCATGTCACTTCTCCACAAATAAAATGTTTTTACATTTCTGATAAAAGATGTAAAGTGTTAGACAGTGAACTTTTGAAGTGCTGATAGGCTTTTGAATTAGCTAGGCAAACCACATCACTCTCCATGTCTCACTCACACTCACTCACAGAGTTTCTCCCGACAAGATGTTGATCTGTTTCTATAAAACGAACAAAAATTCTGTTAAAGTAGCAGTGGACAGTCTGCAGTGTTTTGTGATCCAGAAGAAGTGTATGTAGTCCTCTGATCTCTGTGATGACCATGTCATTGGGTTTTGTATGTGTGCATGTGCATGTGTGTGCTGTGTTACCAACTTTTAGAGGGACTGTGTCACAAATATGCAGATCTGATATACACCCAATTTAATACATGACACATCCATGTCCAAATTCTGCTCTGTCCTGAGCTTGATCACTGCCTGTTTCAGAGTTGGTTGACTAATTATCTCCATGTCAGTTGAATTTTGGAACCTAGAATGGATTCAGAAAAAAGCTAAGAAGCTCTGACCTCAGCATAGCTTATTGTAAACAAGGTTCATGTTCCCAGACCTTTTCCTTTTATTTGTATTTAGGCTATAGCATGTTCTCGCTGTCATATAACTAATTACTAAGTGTGTCACATACCTTGCCCAGTATATGTTGTGGAAATGGACAATGTATTTTTTCATGAAGAAATAGTCTATATTGCTATTGTTTAATTAGAGTTATACGTTGCCAAATATGAAAAAGTCAGTAAACTATATTTTTGGGCACTTGTAAATATATTGTGTTGTTCTACTCCCTGTCACAATTGAAATGTTTAACTTAATTGCAATAAAAGAAAAATCTAGAAAAAGTAAATGCGTAATCATTCATTGATATTAATACGAAGTGTAGGGTGGAGCCCACACTAACATGCACTTTGTGAGAGCCGATGTATCAGGTGGACTACTTGTTTATCACAAGATAAAGTGGCACATCCAGGTCATTCATAGTTTTCAGTTCTGTGCTGAGCCAAATGGAGGAACATGCAAAGCAATGATTTCTGCTGTGAGCAAACAGGTCTATGAAGTAGCATATAAATAATTATAGGACATGTCACGAATCAGACTATAGCATTAAAATAGCAATCAAGAAAATGTTTTCCAAATGAATTCACAAGTAAAAGTACTTCATTGCTAATATTTTATTCAGACTTAGCTTGGCAATAAACCTAATCAATTCATTGAAACAATTGTCAAATTGAAGAGATTAACTAAAAATATAGCATAAAAAAGCCAAAGTAAATATTTAAAAATGCGTTAATACTTAAATATTTCCAAATGCATAAATAAATACCAGAACTCACAAGCTGAATTAAGAATGTACAATAATAAGAAAAAGGGTTGTCCTGTCCAGCAGTGACTGACAAAAATTCTCTAAATTTGGCAGGATTGACAGATAGTCATATTTTTTTAGTCATGGGAATTTTACACTCAAAACACATCTTATCGTTGAGCTGGCATCCCACGGTCAGGGGTTATGGTCTCTAACGCTGAGGTCATGGCTTCGAGCCCCACTCATGACCCTTCCCTGCAGGTCTTTCCCCCATTCTTCTCCCCCACCTTCCTGTCTCTGTCTCGACTGTACTATCAAATAAAGGCAAAAAGCCAACAAATTTAAAAAAAAAAAAATCTTATCTGGGAAGCTGGTGGAGGTGGAGCCTAGCCCATCTGACTTGGAGTAAAATAAAGGCAGGGTTCATCCTGGACAGGTCACCAGTCCATCACAGAGAGACAAACAAGCACACTTCCCATTTACACCTACGGACAATTTAGAATCACCAATTAATCAGCATGTCTTTGGACTGTGGGAGGAAGAACCGGTGACAACCCACACAGGCACAGGGGAAACATGCCGATATTCGAACCCAGGACCGTCTGGCTGTGAGGTGACAGTGCTAACCATTGCACCACTGTGTCTTTTCCTAGGGAAAGCATGTGTTGCAGTTCATCCTTCTGTATTCTTATATCATGCAGGTTGGTGAATTAAGCCAACGACCCTGGCGTGCCTCCTGTGGTCTGTTTTACAAGGCAGGTTCAACAAACTCTGAGTCTAGTCCTGAACTCTGAGTTGATCTACTCTGAGATAGGAAACTCTGAGTTTCCAGTTCCAGAACAGCAGATTTGAGTTAGTTTAATCAACTTGGAGTAGTTTCACCTGCAATTAAGCGTGTGCACCACAACTACAAAAAGCCAGCATCTATGGAGCCCTAATTCAATGAGTCACCATGGCAACAGGGAAGCGGTGGGCTGCATTTTTTCCCCCCACTAGAATTGGAAATCTTAATGCGCTCGTACGGCGAGTTTGAACACGTTTTTATAAAGAAGTGCAACACCGCTGCAGCTGCAAAACAGAGGGAGACGGCGTGGAGAACATTGCTGCTCGGGTCAATGCATACGTTTAAATGTCGCCCTTTGCAATCACAATAATATTACAGGAGAAAACTGCTTGAATGGTAACCTATATTAATTTATTTCATTTAGGTGCAATCCCGTGGGGAAGAAGCGCACTGATGAAATATAAAAACACTGTTCAAGTCTGAGGTTGCAATACAGTGTCATTAACAGAATATAATTTTAAATTAATTTCACAGATCTCTACATCATTCACCTGCAATCCTGTGGAACTCCTCCTTGATGGCTCTGACTGGTTTATGTCCAGGGAAAACGACAAAGATGGATAAAAGCTGTTTCTTTGAATTTTAGTTCAGTCGCTTTGTCTGCCAGGAAAAAAAGTAATAATCAATAACACGTGCAATTGTTTCTTGAATCAAATGTCTAACTTTAGAAGATAAGGGCTATATCTATTTTATGGTAGCCATTAAACAAAGATTTAAGGAATGTAAACATGGAAGACTTTAGAGTACGATTTTGAGACAAAAGGTACATTTGATGACAGCAAAATGTGTATGTCCCCTTGCTTTAATGGCTTTGACTTGGCAGATAATTTTCATTTTTCAAATTTAGTGCACTGCTCTATAGTATAGTATAGTATAGTATAGTATAGTATAGTATAGTATAGTATAGTACAGGACAGGACAGGACAGTACAGTACAGTAGAGTACAGTATAGTATATACACTATATGATATAGTATTAAGACTGCCCAGGAGTGTATTATTAACTGATGAGTGGTTCCACATGTGCCCTCTGTTAAAAGACCTTAAAAGTACAAATCTTGCATGAAATTAAATCTAAAAATGTCAGTATGTTCAAAGTTACTTCGTACTACAAATTACATCATCGTCATGTAAAGCTATACTTCTGGGGTCCTGGCATTCAGCCATTGTGCGGCATCCAGACTTACCTCCTGGTAAATGACAAGACTTACCATTTACATCCAACTGCCTTTTAACTGAGATGTGTTTTGGAAAATGAATGACTTTTTAACTAGGATTGCTTAATTTTAAGGTTACTCTTTACTTAAGTGGGAATCATCACAATTACAAATATATCACTGTTTTACAATAACTTACCAGTGATAGGTTCAGCTCTGTCCTTGGTGAGCCTCCAGTGTCCAGTGTTAAAGAGGGGGATGTGGCAGTTAGGGGAGGGGGTGGAGAACTTACGTGACCACTGGCAAGTTCATTGGCATAGCAGGAACAGGGGGTTGTCAGCTGGGAGAAAGCAGGTCTGATAGCTGATGGTGTAGGGGATTGTGGTGGACCTACATAAATGACTGCAGGGGCAGTGGGTGAGGTCAAAGGTCTGTTGGCTGTTGATGAAGCAATGAGTGTGGCCATCACTGCTGTGGATTATAAAGAAGCAGGCAGAGATAGTGAAGCTGTCCAGCTTGTGGAGGTATTTTTCGTAAGGTATAAGTCCTTTCAGGTTCTGAGATCTTAATGGACAAAAGACCCTGATTAATAATCATTATCAATGTGCAATCATTCAAAATGGACTTATCAGCTCTGGTGAAATGAAATCCAGTAACACATCCAGGCTAACCCTTGGAAAGCTTTGGCAGATGTAATTATTAAACTCTGAGAGGGTCCAAAAATTAAACACAACATCTCTGTGAGACTGCCCCTGACAAATCATGTCTCAATATCCCTGGAAAATCATAATATCATGTAACATCAGCATACTGACTCAATCATTTATTTTGTCTTATGAGCAACTGTCTTTAATTCAAAGCTTTATTGTGTCTTTGTAGGCCACGAGCAACACACTTTACATTTCTGTTTCTGGTATGCTTTGAGTACATAATGTCAATATTTGCATTATGTGAACAAGGGCTACCCCATGATGAAAGCAGAGATTAGGATTATTAGGGTGTTTGCTTGACCATACTAGTTAAGAAAGGTCCTGCTTACTGTCCAGGGATTTTCATGAAATCATATAAGTTGCAGTTAATGCACTTCCATAGTCTGTTTTAATTTGAGGAATACAATTGTGTCTTATAATTGATTACTAATTTATGGTAATGGTAGATTAGATAAAAATGTCCAAATGCCGATGTGTGCTTGGGCAAGACACTGAACCGAAAGTTGCTCCCAATGACAGGCAGGTACGTTGCATGGCAGCTCTGTTGCCATTGGTGTATAAATTTGTGAATGAAAAACAATGTGAAGCACTTTGAGTACCACTAAGGTAGAAAGGCACTATATAAAAGAAGACCATTTAGGTACTGGTGGAACCTGAAAACTGCAAGCCAGTACATTGGGGAATTAAAGGCCTGTTTTATTTTGGAAGAGAAAACATTTTAATGACCTAATGAATATAACGTAATCTACTTAATCAACATCTATTCCAACATACAATTTAAATATGACAAGGTGCTAAACAGACTTCGTCATGGCATAAAAGAATGCTTCTGAAATGCATTGCAATTCAGAATGGGTCCTTTAAGGCTTTACAGCACAAACTTTAAACAATGAATAATGAAAATCCTGTCGTGCTTCATTTGCGTGCTGTCCACTAGTCAATATGTTAGCCTAAGGAATTGGATCTACCTTACCAGTGACTGCATATAGCTTACATGTTACCTAATGACGGTGAAATGTCCACTAGTTTAACTAGTTAGAATCTGTTTTACCTTACTAGTTTACCAGTGAGATTAAAAAGAGTTACTAGGCAACGAGTAATGGTCAAAATGTCCACTAGTTACAGTAGTGATGGATTTGATTTATTTCATCTTTCTGGTTAACTAGTGAGGTAGAAAGTATTTACTAGTTAATTAGCAAGAGTCAAACTGTCCATTAGTTGAACTAGTTGGTTTCTTTTGGACTTTACTTGTTAACTAGTTTCACACACGTTCCCTTACTAGTGAACAAGTTCAAAAAGTATATCTGAAAAACTAGTGACACTGACATTTACTTTATTAGTTAACTAGTAAAAGACAGTTTATCTCGCCGCACCAGAGTCTGTCAGCAACATGCACAGACTTTGACCAAACATGTTTTTCTTATATGTAGGGCCTTTCCTTTAACTAGTTAAGACTTACGCAGCACTTGTGAGCAACTATGCACATGTTGGATTTTTTGTCACACTAGTTGATATTTTTGACACACTAGCGGATGTTTTTAGTCTTGCTAGTTTGACAAAATTGCCAACTAGACATAAGCGTGCACAATTATATCACATCATGAGTTGAACTAGTTGCCTGAAGGGAGGGCAAAACTAACGGCCATATCAGCAACAACTGAGAAACCTTTGTGCGGTGAGGAAACAGTGCTAACCACCGCATACCGTGTAGCCTAAGTTACAGCCATGAATAAGGCTTTTCAGATATGTAATCTTTGCAACATACTGAGAATGTTTATAGTATATATAAATAACTAAATTTTTGCAATTCAATTTAAAATTTTGATTGTTACAT